AAATTATATTTAAAAAAAAAAAAAAAAAAACTAGACAAAAAACTGGAGAACTGGATTAAATTTAAGACAAGGACATAGATGAGAAATTAACCGTGAAACTTCAATATAGGCTTCTCTCCGTTGGCTACTATCCCAAACATTACTCGATCTCCTTCTTTTAAGCAATTAGCAACGCAGAACTCACGCCATCCACCTCCAATGTAGGTGAATCTTCCACATGAATATAGCGTAAATGTCCATGACCTTTGCTCGTCTCTTATCATTATTGTACATTTCCTGTCTCTGAGACCATGTTGTTGTGCGAATGGGCAAGGAACACGCTGGAACAGTTTATAACCAGTTTCACAAAAAGTTCATATGTTTTTCTGAATTCTCACATAACGAGATGAGTTCTTACCAGAAAACGCTTTGAAAGGTAATAGGGTTTCATGGAACAAATGAAATGAGGATGACCAAGATGCATGTCCTTAGCAGCTTCTACATTGGGAACAGCCTCACGTGATGATATGACGTTGGACTTTGGTTTTTCTGTTACATTTGTTAATTACACAAAAAGTCACGTAAGAAATATATATGGAAAGAATACTTACGATATACAAACAGAAGAAAATATCAATAGATCAACATGATAGAATCTGTCTTGGAGGTATAGATCTATCCAACTGTATGCAGATTTCTTGCATAGTAAAACTACTTTTCAGCTATGAAGACGATGAATCTACTTTTCCCATATTCTCTCTTGCACTATCTGATCATGGTTTTATTCAAATTCAAATGCTTATTATTTGTGAAAAAGTCTAATATTTTCTCAATTCGGCTATCAACTATATACAGCATTCATTGTGAAATGCATCCTTCCTGAAAAGAAAAAAAGTCATGTAAGTTATCTCAACTCAATTAGTTATTGTGAATCATAACTTAGCACAACCTTTTTCATCATCTGTAGTGTATCAGATATATGGGAAAGCTCAAACAAGAGCTTACTAGCTATGTTCTACTATCACACCTCTCGTAGGAGTTAACTCTAGTTACCATTACTCTTAGCCTAGGTATTAGAAATGAAATGCAAAAAACGTATTAGATACAACAAGAAGGATTTGCTCATGAAATCCAGACCTTGAGTGGAAACTCTTTCAGTATCCGAATTAGTCTTCTTTCCTTCGGGCCGGAGTAATGCATTTTCTCTCAGATCTATTTTTAAATCGACATAAACAATCAACAATGTTAGAATTGCAACAAAATATGAATCTAAAACCAAGTAGAAAAGAATTGAGGGGAAAAGGAGAGATGAAAGTTATTTTAGAAGGGCTAATTCAACTCTCAGAAACATATAGCTTTTTGTTAGGAACTACTATCTCATGATATGCGCTACTCAGTGAAGTGCTTGAATAAGCCTAACATAAAACTTGAGAAAGAACTTTTTGGGGGAGCTGCTGTAAATAGTTCAAAAGACCTTCTACGAAACGCAAAAACATTTCTCAGTAACTGTTACTCTCAAGAAAGGGGAAAATCTTTCAGTGTTACTTCTAAAGATACTTTAATAAAATTACTAAATTTAAGACTGTTTAATAAATAAAAACTTCAATGATGAGTTTGTATTTTGTTATCAGTTGATGGAATTGGGCATTTGAAAGACTTCATAAGAACTTGAGAAAAATATGCTACTAAAATCAAAACAAACTAGGCAAATGGCGTCTACTTCTATTTTTTGGTGCATCTGGAATGAGAGGAATCACAGATGTTTTGAACTATTGATGGGATTTCAACTCCTAATCACTCTGTTAAAGCAATTTGTCTAGACAATTTATTTAGTTGGTTCAACCAAGTTCCAGTAACTAGCATTGAACTTTGTGTTTGCTCCTTAGTTATTCAGTAAGTTTTTGTATGTGAGCAGTGACTCTTTTGTTTATTTTTGCTACGCATCTTCTTGATGCCATTTAATGAAATTATCTTACTTCATTAAAAGAAGAAGAAGAAGAAGAAAGAACCAGACAAAAATTGGAGAACTGGATTAAATTTAAGAGAAGGGCTTAGATGAGAAGTTAACCGTGAAACTTCAATATAGGCTTCTCTCCATTGGCAACTATCCCAAACATTACTCGATCTCCTTCCTTTAAGCAATTTGCAATGCAGAAGTC